CTACTTGAGCACAATGATTTATCAGCTAACCTAGTTTCTCCTGCAGAAGTTCTGCTTGTCCTCTCTTTCCTGTCCACACATTCTGTTTGCATGTATTGTTCACCACTGTTCATTCCATACTCTGACCCTGAGCAATTTGGAGGCATATACCAATGCTTCCAGTACAGACAGTCCACTGTGTGGTATTATCAGTACATAAGATTCTCATAGGCATGTAGTAGGTGCTCAGTTGTATCTGCAGAGTAAGTATAATGTCCTCACTCTCCTCTCCTGCAGTTTATCCCACCTCAGCACATTGCTCCATTGGACATTTGTTCAAGTTTGACAGTCATACTTGCTGTATCTTTCTAATGAATTCCACATCCAATCCATCCTCAAGTCTTATTAGTTTTGCCTCCAAGACCACCTCCTCCCTTGTTGAAGTCCCTGTCCTCTCTCACTGGTATTCTTGCTTCCACTCCAGCCCTTCTCCAATCTATATTGCAAGAAGCTTGACCGCTTTCTTATTTCTGTTCTGGCAGTTTCTTGAAAGACCATCTCCTGTTCTGGAGGATTATGCAGAAATTAAATTTGAGAATTTCTACCAGTCTCTCCCCTGTTCCCCATCTTTACCAGTAATAAAATTTCATTTACTATTTTTTCATCCATATTCCTATATTACTATGGAAACTATATTTTATTTCTGTGTCCTCTCATAGAATGAAAGTTAAAGGAATTTTATTGCTCTCATAAAAGTGCATATATTTCTTCAAATTAACATTTTTACATTCTTTGGGTAGATACTTGGGGGCTATCTCATCGTGGTTTTGAGTTCCAGGAAATGGAATTTATTGAGCAAGTTATTTGCATTAAGTAGGTTCTTTACCTACTATGTTAGGTAATACCTGTTATTTAATACTTTCAAAGGATATCTGAGTTAAGCATATTTTAATTATCTTTTACTCTCCTCTGTTATGGCCTGAAAGCTTCTATCCCCCTAAATTCATATGTTTATATTTATCTCCATTGTGATGATTATTTGAGGGTGGACCATTTTTGGGGAGGTGATCAGGCCATAAGGGTGGAGACCTCAAGATTGGCATCACCATCCTTATAAAAAAAGACCATAGAACTCCATTGCTCATTTGCTCTATATGACCCAGCATGTGGTCCTTCACCAGACACAGAATCTGCCTGTATCTGATCTTGAACTTTCCAGCCAATAGAACTGTGAGCAATAAATTTCTCTGTTTATGGGTTGCCCAGTTTATGATATTTTGTTATAGTAGCCCAGACTAAGACACCCTCTTGTAGATGGGAAACTGAGCTCCTAATTTGTAATTATCTTTGATTGCTTATATTTAATGGCTTAAATAAATAGAAGTTTGTCTCTCATGCAAAAAGATGAACATGGAGCCACAGTTTCTGGCCTGGACTCTAGAACTGTAATCACTTTCCATGGATAGTGAGCAAACCTGTATAAACTATAAAAGGGCCTGTGACTATAAATTTATCATAGAATTTAAAAGCCATAAGTGAATATTATACTAGTATATTATAATATTTATAATATGTCATAACATATGACTATGACATTGTAACTGTTATAGCTGTAAAACTTAAAAACATTAATGATTTTCTAAGTATGTCAATTTGAAAAGTATGTAATGTATGCCTCTACTTTTTATTAAGCATGTATTTACACTTAAAGGAAAAAAAAGTTCAAATATTGTACAAATGGTGAACTATGGGATAAGAATTTAGGAATTTTTATTATTTTTATTAATCCAAGTTTCCTAACTTTCAATATTGAATATAGGTTCTGAAAGGACTGGTGGGGGCGGGGCCAGAACTGAGGAAGCACCTGTGGGTCATATTCTTTTCAAAATCCTCTCAGAATGTGCTTCTGGCTCTATGGGGTCTTGACTGCCATATTGGTGTGATGTCTCTGAACTCCATAAAAACCCTGATCTATGCAGTCTTACCCCATCATTAGGCCCATTCCTAGTCTCCACTCCAGTCTGGGTGATGTACCTGGGCTCCTGTTCCCTGCTGAGGGGAGCAGAGGGCAAGACAGGAGAGGTCTGCCACACCATGTGGGAATCTCCCTGGCTGGCTGGGAATAGAACTGGTGCCTCCTCCTGTTCCTCAGAGAGGAGGGTTAAGTTACCTGTGGAGAGTTGTGTACCATCATCCACACATGCTGGAGCCTAAAGAAATGACGTGCAGGTTAGCTCTGGAACATTTCATTGTATTACTTTGCATGGGACGTAAGTTACCCAAAGTTTGCCAACAGCATGCGGCCAGCTTTGTGTGCAAACTTTTGTAGCTTCCAGCTGACCAGTGGCCTGTTGTGTTTCCTCATCTCGTTAGTGTATGAGTAGCAGTGTATAGAGAACATATCTCTTCAACCTCTTTCTACTTCTGTTGATGCTCATAAAAGTAAGAGCTAAAAACTTCAAAATGATCTCAGTATAAAAATTGACCGCCACTCTTCACAGGGCTTTTGCTTGGCCTCTTCATGATTCCTAGACTAGTGCTTCATGACACCACATTTGGATATTTCCAGCAAAAGATCTTTACAATAACCCCATTCCCAGCCAGTCCTTTCATTCTATTCATGTCTGAGACCCTGAACATAATTGTTTTTAGTGTATTCACTCTTAAAACCCAGATCATCTGTTTTATCTTCAAAGAATCCATTCTTTTTTTTGCTATACTTTTTTCTGTTTTTATATATTTTATTTTATATATTTTTTACATCATTTTTCATTTTTGCACAATGTACGCATTTTCATCTTGGTTATATTCCCCACCCTCCTTATTTTGACCCTAATTCCTCCTCCTCCCCCTATCCTCTCGGTGGTGTGTCTCTGGTTTATAGGTACTTGTTGATTTTGATTTTTACTTTATTATAATTAGTCTTTTTCCTGGTCCCTTATTTAGGTTTTCTAAACTCCTGCTAGGAGTGAGACCGTCCGGTATTTTTCTTTTTCTTTCTGGCTTATTTCGCTGAGCATGATCCCTTCCAGCTCCATCCATGTTGCTGCAAACTCCATGTGTTTCTCTTTTTTGAATGCTGAGTAATATTCCATGGTGTATATGTACCACATCTTCTTGATCCAGTCATCTATTTTTGGGCATTTGGGTTGTTTCCAAAGCTTAGCTATTGTAAACAGTGCTGCTATAAACATAGGGGTGCAGGTGTTCTTTGGAATTGATGTTTCTGTGTCCTTTGGGTAAATACCTAGGAGTGGAATTGCTGGATCATATGGAAGCTCTATGTTTAGTAGGTCCAGAAATCTCCACACAGCTCTCCATAGTGGTTGGACCAGTTTGCACTCCCACCAGCAGTGCAGGAGAGTTCCTTTTTCTCAACATCCTCGCCAACATTTGTTGTTGCTAGTTTTTTTAATATGTGCCATTCTCACTGGCATAAGATGGTATCTCATTGTAGTTTTGATTTGCATTTCCTTGATTACAAATGATGCTGAACATTTCTTCATATGCCTGTTGGCCATTTGCATTTCTTCTTTGGAGAAGTTTTTTTTTTTTTTAGCTCTTCTGCCCATTTTTTGACTGGAAAATAATCCATTCTTTTTCACTTTCCTTGAACCTTGTATATACCTCTTTTGGTTAATTATCATGCTGTTCTGTAAGCTCCTATTGAACATCCAGATCTCCCTCTTGACCTTTAGTTTGTTGAAATTAGGGCATTCTCAATGTGCAGTGTATGCCAGTGTATGCCTGTCACCCACATAAATGTGTTGCCCTTTCTTGATTAACAGTCATTTAAGTCCCCAGTGTGCTTCAGTACTTTGGATTGTGAAGTAGGACTATTGCTACATCTACCACACTCCTAGAAAGGAAGTTGTTAATAAGTAAGTTTTTCTTATCCCCCTTTTGGAATTTTCTCAAATTTCAAATTTCTCTTTAGTTCACCTTCTTTTTTTCCTCCATCCCCCTATATCTCCTCATCCCTTTCTCTCTCTGCCTTGTTCTTTAACTGAGATAGAGAGTAAAATGAACAAAAATAAAGTGTACAGCTCACTGAAATTTTATATGCTTATATGCCTGTGTAATTGTATAATTGTCTCCCAGATCAAGATCCAGGACATTTTTAGTCTCCAGCAGGATCTCCCATGTCCCTACTTAGTCAGACCCCACCTTCTCTAAGCATAACTATGTTCTGATTTCTAAAACTGTAGATCAGTTTTTTTTTAAGATTTATTTATTTATGCATACAGGAGCTGGGGTACAGGCCAGAGGTGTGGGGGGGTGAGAGGATTCACCAGAGACAGAGTGGGGAACAGAGCACGCGGATTGACTGAAATACACGGCTGAGGGGAGCAGTGGGCAACACAGGAGAGGTCTGCTGTGCCATGTGGGTATCTCCCTGGCTAGCGATTGAACTCATGCTGCAATGGCTGCAGATAGCTTCACAGTGCTGTGCTTGCAACCCCTTGTGCCACCAGGGAGGCCCCTGTAGACCAGTTTTGCCTGTTTTTGATCCTCATATAAACTGAATAATGTACCTTGTATTCCTTTGTGTCTGACTTCTTTCACTCACCATTATTTGTGAGATTAAAGCCTGGTGATATAGCAATAGTTTGTTATTTTTCACTGCTGTGTAGTATTTCATCATATGAATAGTGTTCGTGGTTTTAACAACAAACTATTATTTGCTTTTCAGAGAAAAACTCTTTCCTGAATCTGGAATCTTATTTTGCCAAATAATATTTGGTTTTGTAATATTTTTCATATCTTAAATGGATCCTAAAACAAGGAAAAAGGGTCCATCTTCCGTAAATATGATTTAATGACACACACAAAAATGAATAAATCCTTAATTTAATTCCTTCCCATATATTTGAGTAGGAAATTGATCGTGATTCAGGCTGTTGGTGTTAATGTTAATTTAGACTATGGGAGTAACAGGAAATGGCCTTCTGGAGTGGAAAGTTCCCTCACCTGACAGGATGTTGTGTGTCTTTACCTTTCCCTGCATGGATGGATTCCAGTGAGATGAGTCAGAAAACGGTTAAGGAGGGTCCCAGACTCTCCAAGAACCAGAAGTTTTCTGAGCACTTCAGCATACACTGCTGCCCCCCCTTCACATTCCTCAACTCCAAACGCGAGATTGTGGATCGGAAATACAGCATCTGTAAGAGCGGCTGCTTCTACCAGAAGAAGGAAGAAGACTGGATCTGCTGCGCCTGCCAGAAGACCAGGTAAGTGGTTTGCTGGGCAGGGCATTGGCCTGTCATCTCTCAGCTCCGAGCCCCCGTCTTCCTACTCTTCTCTGTGAAGTTTTCCCACACCCTTACCAGTCAGCTGCCTGTTAGGTTCAGTCACTGCAAGATACTGGAGGGAGATTGGAAGGTGGGAGGGGGAGCAGGGCCTGCCTTCCTGTTTCCAGCTCCTGTCAGCATCCCTTAAGCACAGAGAAGAGCCACGGCTCCAGTCTCCAGCTTCTTTTGGCCCTCTCAGCACCAGCCGCCGTGCAACGTCCCCTCAGAGGCCCAAGCTCCAGCCAGCTGCACCCCCCGCGGTGGTCAGAGCACCAGCCAAGCCACGGTCCCCTCCACGGACCCCTCCGAGGTCTGAGCGTCAGCCACGGACCCCTCCGAGGTCTGAGCGTCAGCCACGTCCCCGCCCAGAGGCCCGACCACCGCCAGCCAAGCAGCGGCCCCCTCAGAAGGCCAAGCAACCGCAGCGCAGCAGCCCCCAAAGAGGGCCAGGCACCAGCCGTGGGGGGTCTCCCATCAAAGCTCCTAGGTTCTGGTAACACCATCTCTTCCCTTTTGTTCCCCCCCAGCCCTAAGGTTAGTAGCTCCTTCCTGTGTTTACTAATATCTGGGTTATCTTGATGGACCTTACCAAACAAACCTTTGTAATCAATCCCCTGCATTAAATCCCCTTTGTTTGAAATAAGTAGTGTGGCTTCTGTTTTCCTCATAGACACAGTTGGTGCAAGGCTTCAGATGGCAGTATCCATTCCTTCCTTTAGCTAGTGGGCTGAAAGTGATTAATTTACCAATTCAGATTATCCGCTACAGCTGCAAATTAGATAAATGAGACCCTTGATTCCTTTGCCTCAGAGGAAGAAGGAATAGAGACTCTTAAGAATATGTATGTGTATGTATAAAAGGAGAGGTTCAGTCATTTTGCCCATCATGCTCCTAATATTCTTCAGCTGATGTTAATCTCAGAATCAAGATCAGTCATGCTTATTCAGTCATTCAACAAACTTTACTGCATGCCTTTAGAGTTCCATAGACCATGCTAGGGGAATGGAAAGAGAATATTGGGGTGAACAAGCCCAGTTGCTCGTGATCCCCTATGACCAACAAGAGAATGGATTGCAGGGTAGGTTACAAATACCCCAATATTGTCATAATCACTGCGTACATTGTGCTATAGAGCCCTGGAGCAGGGAGTTATTGTCTCTGCCTCAAGAATTTGGGGCAGGTTAGACTAGAATGTGTAGAGGGTAAATGGAGAGAAAAGGTGAGCTAGAGAGGCCCTACGTTCATTTCTCATCTTAGGCCAGTTTTTAATAGATTTTATTTTTTAGAGCAGTTTTAGGTTCACAGCAAACTCAAGTAAAGAGTGTAGAGATTGCTTATATATTCTCTAGAAACACACACCCAAACACACATGACAGACGAACATTTAGTCCTTTTAATACTTGAAATGAATCTGTCTTCTGAGTTAATAACGGGTGTTAATTGTATTTGAGGTTCTCATAACCACTCTGATACCAGCACCTGCTTAGCATATACATTACTGTGTGCGCATGTCAGATGAGGCTCCCAGGTTTAGTACACAGTAGAATCAACTGGGGAGCATGTTCAAGAGACTGTCAGTGTAGCTAATTCCTTGTGTCACCAGTGAGCTCTGGGGATCTGCATTTTCAACAGGCAACACCTTCTCCCCTAGAATAGTGGCACAGGTGGTGCACAGACCACATTTTGAGAAACACTGACATAAATGATCCATAAAGAAATAATTCACATTATCTGTGAAGCATAGCAGAGAAATGTAGAAGGTGCCACATTTATGGCTCCAAAAGCGAAAGCATTGAAAAGAGGGGAAGACCAGGGGAGGCTGATTTGTAAAGGAAGTAACAGACTGTCAGTCACTGAATCTATAGCAGGAATTTGTACACTAGGTTACCTAGTCACTAATTCAGGCCTTCCCAGGGGACCCGAGTAAAGGCACCCGGGGACAGGTAAGTTCTGATACATGGAGGTGGTTAGGAAATGTGCAGAACAGAGGAAAGGGATGTCTGAGAGGCCTGTTATCTATGCTGGTGACTTCAAGCCACATCTGCAGTGAGTTGCACGGTGGCTGTTTGGAGGGCTGGAGTACAAGCAGGGTATAGGGGGAGGTGGAAAATGGCGAAAGCAAATGTCAACTTAGCCGCAGATTTGTCTGGACCCAGCCTTGCTGGTTTTATTCCTCTAAACTCAAGAGCTAGCCTAGCACTGGAGAATTTTGACTCCCTCAGTGGCTCTGAGAGGAGGTACTGCCCCAGGCCGTGGTTGCCTCTTAGTCATTGTCCCCTACCTGGAGCTAGGGACCTGGCATGAACACGTGGTTTCAACTGTGCTGATGACTTTCAAACTTTACTCCAACCCTGACATTAAACTCACATGGGGCCTGTTTGCAAGGAGGATCTACTTGCACGCAGCCAATGTGACTTGTCTCCACTTGACTCCCTCCCCATGGAGACTTGCTCGCCCTCTTGACTGCTGCCTCAGCAAATAGCGCTACTATCCCATTTAATCACTCATGTTGGAAACCTCAGAACCATCCAAACTTCCAACCTTGCCTCCCATAGATCCTGTCAGGATTTTTAAGAAACTATATCTCAGAGCACATGAAGAGCCAGTGGGAAGGGGTGCAGAGGTGAGAGTGAATGGAGATAGCGGATAGAAGAAGGGGCCTTCATAGTAAAAGCCGAACAACTGGCCTTTCTTTGATGGACGCCTGAGAGGCTGCTTGGTTTTGCAAAGCAGCGAGAGACCCAGTAGTGAACATTAAGATGAAGGGAAGTCAGATGCAGAGGGTGAGAGAGCTGGAGATTTGAGAAGGTTAAGATAGGTTTGGAATCCCGGAGACCAGTCTGCAAGGGGTGCTGAGGGCTGGCCGAGCTCTGTTCCACGGAGCTGCATGTAAACACGATCGTTCTTAGGCAGGCAACAAACTGCCATCTCTGAAATCACCAGTGAATCATTCAATTCTCCATTGACTGCTTTTCCTCCAGCCTGCTTTGCCAAGTGTCTCCTCTGCAACTGTTCTTACACTTTGCAGGTACCTCCAGTTCCCCCACCTCTGCAGCTTTTCTGTCTCCATCCATCTAGGTCCTTCCTTTCTTCCAGTTCCAAATGAGAAGCCAGGCCCAACCATTTTTATCCCTTTCAATAAGCCCTATGTTCCCCTACTCTCTGAATATGTCTCATTGGGAAAACTTGAAATTTGGATGAATCCAGCCATCTGCTTTCACTGTTTATTTCCAGGCAGTTGAGCATCACTGGAGAAACACACGCAGCAGGGCAGCAGTAGTTGGAATAAGCAGGATTATACTCCTCAAATCACTGAGCACTCTCTTCTTTTGGGCAGTCAGTATTGAGGGATTTTCACTCGGATGAAGGACTACCCATGACCCTGAAAAGCACCATGTATGTGTGTATAACACACCACATGCACACACATGCACATACCCACACATAGAATTGTTGATATGTAATTTGCATGCAGTAAAATTTAAACTTTTCATCAAATAGTCTTATGTACATAGTAGTGTAACTAACCACCACAATCAAGACAGAATATTTTCATTGCCCTCAAAATTTCCCTTATGTTTCTTTTTTGCAGTCAACCTCCAGGTCCCTAACAACCACTGATCTGTTTTCTGTTCCTGCCATTTTGTCTTATTGAGAATGCTGTGTAAACGGAGCATGTACCCTTTTAAGTCTGACTTTTTCCACTTAGTATAATACATTTGAGATTGAACCATGTTGTCGCATGAATCATTTTTACTGCTGAGTAGTATTCTACCGTATGGATATACCTATCACTGTTTTCCAATTGCCAATTGAAAGATATTTAGGTTGTTATCAGATTTTGGTGAATATAATAAAGTTTTTTATAAACATTTATGTGAGCATAAGTTTTCTCTTGGGTAAATAACTAGGACTGATATTGCTGGGACATATGGTATATGTTTGCATGTGTAAGAAACTACTAAATTGTTTTCCAAAGTGGTTGTACTATTTTATACTCCCAGCAGCAACAGGAGATGCTCTGTGTTTTTGTCAGCATTTGGTATTATCAGCTTTTAAAATGTTATCCATTCTAATAGGTATATAGTAGTATCTTACACCAAAGATATTTATTGGGGAAGTGTGTGTTCAGTCTTCTGCCCATTTTTAAGAAATAGGTTGTTATTTTCTTATTGTGTTTTGAAGGCTTAAAAATATAGTATGAATAATTAGTATGTGTAGTCATTAGTATGAATTGATTGATTGATTCCTTTTTGGAGATACTTACAGATTCACATGCAGTTTTACAAAATAGTACAAAGTTTACTCCAGTTGCAATAGCTCACATAGCTATCTCTAGAACAGAAGCATTCAATGTGTCCTGTAACTAACTATACTTAGCTCATTTACTATTGTAGTTCTACGAAATTGTGTGATTTGTGAATTCCTTGGGATTCTCTATATAAATAAACCTATCTGTAAAAAAATAAAAATCTGGAAACAAGTCCTTTATCAAATATATGCTTTGCAAATATTTCCCCCAGCCTATGGCCTGCATTCTCATTTTCTTAACAGTGTCTGTGAAGAATCAGTTACAGATGTTGACAAAGTCCAATTTATCATTTTATTTTCCTTTATAGGATTTTTGTGTTGTATGTAAGAATTTCTAGTTTTCCTCTAGACTTAAAATTTTAGCTGTACATTATATTATTTACACTATCTTCAATAATTTTTATAAATGGTGTGAGGTTCAATTTTCTTGCATATGAATATTCAATTGCTCCAGCATCATATCTTGAAATATTCTCCACCAAATTACTTAGGCAATTTTGTCAAAAATCGGTTGGTTATAATGTGTAAGTTTATTGCTGGACTTTCCATCCTGTTCTATTCATTTATGGATCTTCCCTTTCACCAATACAATACTTGATTATTGCAGCCTTATAGTAAGTGTTGAAATTATTGAAATCATTTAGTGTGAGCTTGTCACCATTGTTCTTCATTAAAAAATTGTTTTTGCCTATTTTATCTTCTCTACTTTTCAATAGAAATTTTAGCATCACTGTATCAATTTCTACACTATAACCTGGCTACAGTTTGAATGGGATTGTGTTGAGTTTGTATATCAGTTAGGGGAGGACTTTCACCATACTGAAACCATGAATACAACATTAAAAAAAAAGATGATCACATAAATTACAGTTAATACAATGTAACCCCTTAATTGGAGAAAAAGCTTGCAAGCAATGGTTGCCTGGGGCCACATGTTTATGATGTCTTTCCTGGGTGTTGTTCACTTCCTTTTGAACATAGTCTGTCCCCCATCAACATGGGAACATGTCAATATGGTCACAGAGCATATGTTCTCTCTCTGCGTGTGCAAGTTTCCATTTTTATGTTGATGGGCAGTAAAACTAGATTTTTTTTTAAAGATTTATTTATTTATTTATTTATTTATTTATTTATTTATACAAGCACTGGGTACAGTCGGAAGTGCGGGAGGGTGAGAGAATTCACCAGAGCCAGAGTGGGGAGCAGAGCAGGCAGAAGGACTGAAGTACACTGCTGAGGGGAGCAGCGGGCGGCAGGAGAGGTCTGCGCGCCATGTGGGACCCTCCTCCGGTGGCCGGGGAGCAGCCAGGGATTGAACCAGCACTGCAGAGGCTGCGGGCAGCTTCGCAACCCAGTGCTCAACCGCTGGGCCACCGGGGAGGCCCTAAAACTAGATTTTTTGAGGCGTGGGATGGCACTTCAATTTCCTTTCTGCTTTTTTTTTTGTGTTTTAAAATTACCTCTAATGATTCAACATGAAAGAAATAATTACTATAAATAAAAATAGAGGAACTTATGAACAATATTTTTTCTAGACTCAGGTCAGGAAAAATATACTGTTTGGCCAGATACTACCAGAATTAAGAAATTAAAAATGAATTCTAAGGCTCAATTTTCCAGAAGAATAATAACCTGAAGAGGTGGTATACAGATTCATGATTATATTACTGAGGGAAGAGAGAGACCATCACTTATCATTGTTGTGCATTTGTATGTTTCTCTTTGTGAACCAGATTGAAAAGGAGGATCAAGCCCACTCCAAAAAAGAAGTGACCGAAGACTTTCAAGTGAATGGACGGCCTCAGCTCCTGGACTCCGCTTCTTGACCCATGTGACCTTGGACAAATTATCTGGCTTCAAATATCATGCAGGGAGAGACACCCATGATTGCAGCAACTGCCGATGCCCACAGTCCCCTTGGCACAGGTGCTGCCGGGCAGCATGCCTGGAGGTGAGAGGGGGCTTGTGTGTTGTGTTCCACTGGCAGGTCCTAGTAGAGCCCTCTGGGCTCCAGAGCTCAGTACTCAGCTCTTTGATCTCACCTGCAGTTCCTTCACCCTCAGGATGTACGTGGGCCTGGGGGTCTTTGGACCAGAATAACTCAGGTGCCAGCCCCTGTGCTGTCCTCCAAAACTCTGTTCCTTCTGTACTCGCCATTCTGTTGCTGAGTGTGACTTTTGCTCTTTGACCTTCTTCTTTGTAATTAATCCTCCACCTGAGTTTCTCTCTTCCCCTGTGCCACTGGGTTTCTGTTTGACCCCCATCACCAGTCCCCTGTACTAGTCCACGATCAGAGGCACAGTGGGTTCCAGGAAGATCCAAGTCTTTTCTCAGTAAGAGACTAGGCTCCCAAATGATTCGGAGAGGCAAGGAAATTCCCAGGGAGGGAAGAGGTGTAAATCCAAACTTCAGATGTAGCCAGCGTGCTCTTCCAGAAGCTGGGAGCAAAGACACGAGGAAGTAGCTCCTTCCCACTTCCCAGATCCCTGTGTCCATCTCACACAGGGGTTTGTGAATTTCTTCCTGGTTCGGGTCTGGGTGAGAGCAAACACCAAGCACGGCGCATCTGTGTGTGGGCAGGGGCTTGGCTCTGGGAGAGTATCTCTGGGCTCTCATTTTCTCTCCCAGGCACAAGTACTGGGGTGCCCTTCCAAGTCTGGTGTTGGTTCTGTGTCCAGAGAGCACTGAAGCTGATCACAAGGGAACATACTCCCTCAGGGGCCTTGCCTTGACTTAGAGCTCCACTGTATGCCCAGCAGAGGCCTTGAAGGGATCACTGCTGGGCATTTCCCCCACGCAGCTGTGTGGAGCTGGACAGGATCTGTCTTGCTTCAGGCTCTAGCTAGGTCCATTCTAGAAACCATCCCAGCTTGTTTCAAGTCCAGGTTTGGCTGATTTGTTTACTGGCTCCTAAAGATGGGATTGGAAGGTGAAAGATACAGGTAATAGATCCTTTCTCCATGCTCGTCATCCCTCCGACACATTTCTATTTAAGAGGCCAGTAGAAGGGAGGAGGTACACCCCAGCCATGAGGACACGAGGCTCACTGTTCCTCTGGGCTGGGTCCTGCCCATGGTGACTCAGAAGCCATTTCCATACCCAGCAACACCATGTTCTTGCTTGCTTTCTGGTCTCTCCTTTTGTACATGCAAATGCTACATTGTCATATTACTCAGAGTTTGCTGTTTGTTCTGCTTATGATTCTCTGGCCCAAGACCTTTGCACAGTTGCCTTCAGCTTAAATATCATCTCAGAGACGCTTCCCTGGGAAATTAAGTGTGGTTTCCATAGTTACTCCTTATCCCATCACTATAGTTTCATTTGTCTCCATAGCACTTATTACCCTCTTGAATTATCTTGTTCATATATTTACTTGTTTACTACTGCTCTGTCTTGGGTAACCACCATGATTGACAACACTTATTTACTGTTCCAGCCTTAATGCTCCACACTAGCCAGAACTCAATAAATGCTTGTTGACTACCTGGATGTTTGTTTGTTTTTTAATAGGAATAAATTTTCAAAAGTTAAGGTACTTTTGAAATGTCAAAGTTATATATTGTATTTAGCAAAAACTGTAGGTGACCTTGCATGGCTCTCTCCCTGGAGACAATGCGGGTGAGGAACAGGAATTTGTGAATGTGGCTGCAACTCTCTCAACTAAGCTTGGCCATGAGGGGGGCACAAGGGAGGACAATGACTGGAGGACCCCAGGAACTCAAGAGGCACTTGAAAAGCATGTTGTGGGGAAGGAGGCAGCAGAGCATGTATATAAGCAAGGAGGTTGGAGCCAAGAACTGAGGAGGTGGCAGGGATATGGACAGGGGGATAGAATCTGAGACGCAGGCTACCAGAAGCAGAACAGGGGTCCATGGTCATTGGAAAATGGGGAAGGGGAAAAGGAAAATGGAATTTCTGGTGGATTTTCAGAGGTCGTTCCTGTCTGTGGCTTTAGTTTTCTCCATGAAGTAGAAGATTGGGGGTCAGAGGTATGAGCATGGTGGAGAGGATTATAAAGAAATCACTTCATCCCAGGTCTTACTTAGAGGCTAGAAGCCTGTTGGACCCAGTGGTGTTATCTGGAGTGACTCAGCAACAACTTCCTAGAACCTCAAAGTGGTATTTTGTAGAAATAATGTCATTAGGGTGCAGAAAGAAAGTAGCTTTTTATTCAAGAGAGTCTAAATTTCTAAGGGTTCATCTAGCCAGGAGATGCAAAGTCTCCAGGAAAAAGGATGTCTGGATCCATGTTTGAGAAGGTAGCTCATGGCAGTGGAAGAACTGTCTGTGGTCAGTTAATGAGAGATACTCCTTACAAAAGTAGGAGCTTTTCAGCATCATTATAAGCCAAATCAGCCTCAGTGCAGAAACTAAAAGCATTTTGGGACACTTTTGTTAATGAATAAAGGGTCCAAATCAGAGGCAAATATATTATCAGTCACTGAAAATAGTCCCTCAGGCAGGTGGTGGTCCATGCATGGGCAGGCGGTGGTCCATGCACAGCCGGCTGTTTACTTCCAGGCAAACCTGTTTGATTAACGATGGTATCAAGCTAACCCTATTGTGTTCACCATCAAAGAGAGTCAGGGAGTCTGTCATTCAGAGGGTGTGGGGGTGACTGGACATTCTGGCAGTTTTTCAGCAATTAAATCATGTTTGCATGCAGATCCGAGTAAAATTATCCCTGATCTCTCCTCTGTCCCTTTACCCAGGTAGGAAGCCAACTCACAACTCATTAAATTCTAGGCATGCCTTGTTTATAGCAAGAAAGTGAGACATATCACAGGCCGGAGGAGAGAGCCCTGGTGCACCCCGGGAGAGCCAGTCCAGCACCCAGGCGCTCTTACTGACAGGAGTTATTCAGTAGGTCTTTGTGTTATTTCTGAGATCTCTAAAGTATGCCAGTCTTTGGGTTTGCTCTCTGCAGTTTTGACTCAGGAAGGCAGCTTCTTTCTTTTCTGTACAAGACTTTTTGATGGATTAGAAAGAAAAAAATCCACATTCAGGTTTTTTTTGCAAGGTGATCCAACAGATTTTTTACATAAACTATTTTCACTGTAATTTACCCTCCATTTCTTGAATTCTCCGTGAACAGCCTCTCCTGCAGCTGACAGGTTCTGTCCTTTGTCTTCTGCCTTGTAAGCTTTCTGAGTCAGTCCTCGTTTTCTGCTGAGGGAGATGGTTAAGATCTCTACTGCCAGCTGCAAGATTTTGCATTTATTTTCAACTAGAGCTTTGGTTGCAAGTAGTAAAAAAGGAATCATTTCCCCAACTTTTTTCATCCAGCTGATGCCTTGCTGACACCTCATTATTTCCGGAATGTGAATGGTGTCTGTTTTCTTCAACTCTTGTTAATGTGGGGAGTCATCTGACTTCCCTCACTTTCCATCTTCCGACTGTGGTCATCTGCCAACAACTCTTTATTTTAAAAATGATCCTGTCCACTTTCTTCTCTGTGACTTTTTCTCTTGATGCAAAGATCAAGCAGTTCCAAATGAGGCATATTTATTCAGAACTTCAACGCCACTATTTTTTTTTTAAGCTGTTCGTTCTTTCTGAGACTTAGCGCGTTGCCTGAGTTGCTCGCCGTGTCCTTAGGTGGGGGTGGGAGAGGAGGGGGCAGCTGAGGACAGACCCTGGGCTCCCGGGTATCCCTCTCCAAGCACCACCCCTTCCTCTCCTTCCAGCCCCTGCCTGCCTTCTTTCTCTTTTCTTCTCTCATCTGTTTTTCTATATCCGAAAGTCACAAAAATCTCAGTTTTTAGATTTCTAGCAGCACTACTACTGTCTTTTAGTTTTTATTTTTATTTTTTCTTTTTTAAAGATTTATTTATGCATACAAGAGCTGGGGTGTAGGCCAGCAGGGTAGGGGGTGGGTGAGAGGATTCACCAGAGACAGAGTGGGGAACAGAACAGACAGACTGACTGAAACACACTGCTGAGGGGAGCAGCGGGAGAGTCAGAAGAGGTCTGCTGCACCATGTGGGTTGCTCCCTGGCTGGGGATCGAACTCCTGCCATGGTAGCTGCAGGTAGCTTCATAGGCTTCATCTTAACCCCTTGCATCACCAGGAAGGCCCCTTGATTTGTATTTTTATTGCTCTGGGCTTCACACCATCTTCCCTGCCTTCTCTAGCTCTGTAACACTGTTGAGATTCAGCCCAGACCAGCACTACTTTGACTCATGCGGGTCCCATGGATGGGTGATCAAGAATGGCCCCTGGAGGGATGTTGACCCCCAGCCGGGAGCATTCTGGCTCCAGGTCTCTCAAATCCCAGTTTTCTTTACTCCCCTCATGGTCTGGTGCCAAGGTGCCACTGTGCCTCACAGGGATGCTCTCCTGTGTTAGGATGACCATGTCATTGCTGGATCTACCCCTGTAGTTTGCTTTCATTTAATTCTAATTTGCTACTACTTGTATTATCTCAAGTCCTTAGCCAAGTGCTTGAATCCAGTTTCTCATGTGAGCCTTTATTTTTCTTCTGGTATAAGTTTCCCTTCATTCAGCTCTTGGGGTCCCATAAGGGAATCTTAGGAGTTCAAAAAAAGATCTGGGAGCATTTAGCACCGTGTGTGTGTGTGTGTGTGTGTGTGTGTGTGTGTGTGTGTGTGTGTGTGTGTGTGTGTGTGTGTGTGAGAGAGAGAGAGAGAGAGGGAGAGAGAGAGAAAGAGAGAGAGATTGATTCTCTTTTGTTTTTTGCTTCTTTCCTTCTGCTACTCCAGAAGAGAAGAGAGAAATGTGCCCTCCATTCTCTCAAAATCATATGCAGATAACAGAGGTAGAGGTATGGGGCTCCTGGTATGGTTGAATGTTGTGCTGTTCCTTACCCAAGTAGAGGTTTGGTTGGCATGTCATTCCTGTTCCCCCTCTCTTCTGGCTTTTGAAATAAAATTTGTGAAAATGAACAAGCTTTAGTGCACATATATCACCCTACAAAGCTCTATCAAGCTACTTCTTAAGGCAGCTCTGTTTTCTGAACCTGTTAGACTCCCACTGGGATATAACTGATTTAGAACAATGATATATAGTGATGTTCTCACACAGTCTGGAATGCTGTGATTTAAATGAACTATGCTGTTTTTAGTTTGAATAAAAAGAACATAAGATATACACCACAAGGACATTCAGATCCATATGGCTCCTGTGCCTGTGTGCGTCAGGGGGAGGGGCAGTGTGGCTACAAATGGAGTCGCTCTATTTCCTGAACTACAAAGTTGTTGACAGCTGGTGCCTATCAAAGCCCATCCTGGGTGGACCATGCTTTCATCCATATTGTATAATTGATGACCAAGCAATTATAATTTTAGGCACCCATCCTAGAGAACCTTTGCGTCCAATGATTGCTTTTTCTGTAACCTCTCATCTGTCATGGTGGTTGGGCTAAACCTTTCCAGTCTAGACACCTAACCTGCCCTGACCCCTACCATTCCCACACCTTTGTTCACTGAACAAATGAACCCTGACTCGAGCCTCTTAAATTCTCGCTCTGTCTCTATTTCTGGAAAGCTTCCTGTCAGGACCTTACAAGCTAGTGGACAAGACAAAGAGGCTGCATCTCCAATGCGTGAAGCCTGCAGGCTGACAGCCTTCAGAGCTCTTTGCTTATATGATCACTCCTTGGACCAATCATGTGACCAGAGGGCTTGCAGTTGTAGGGTTTGCTTAGCTTTAGACCCATGCCCACCCCTTTGGTCAGGGAGCAGTAGCTATTTCTGAAGAAGGTAGGGGAGGTCAACCCAGGATGCACAGATATAACCCCTTGGAAAATAAAATACAACTCCAGCTTCGGGTTTCTTTTCCCAGCAGCATTGTGAAGATACCACCCCATTGTCTTCTGACCTCTGTAATTGCCAAGGAGAAATCTGCCTTCTGTCTCTGTGTCCTTCCATTGTAAGTAAATTATATTTTCTTTTGGCAGCTTTTAAGATTTTTCTGTTTGTTTTTGGTGTTCTAAGTTTCACTATAGTGCCACTAAGTATGATTTATTTTTATTTATTTTGCTCAGGACTCGAGTTTCTTCAATTTGAAGACATATATCTTTCCTCAGGGATATTGTACAACCAGCAAAATTATTATTATGGCAAAATTAAAAGTTATCAGGCAAGAATATAGGGAAAACTCTCATAAGCCTCTGATGAGAATTTATAAACTATATAACACCTCTGGGGATACTAGCAAAGCATATTGTATAATCGATGACCAAGCAATTATAATTTTAGGCACCCATCCTAGAGAAACTTTGCATTCATAGAAAAAGGAGATTCACATAAATCTGTTCAGCGAAACATTGTTTCCCATCAAAAATAGAAAGAGAAAGACATTAGTCATAATGTCTACCAATAGAAAAGTGAATCAGTAATGGAATATTCATAAATAAAATTCTAAATAACAATTAGAACAAGTGAATCAGATATACCTACAGCAGGTAGATAAATTTGGAAAACAAAATGAGGAATATAAAAAGTGAATAGTAGATGATAAATGCAATATGATACCCTCAGCATAAAATTTAACAACTCACCATACTGTAATTGCCCGATAAGCAGAAACCATCAGCTCTCACACTCTCTCTGTAATACAATATAGTTTTAAAAATGACTATAAAATAAAAGGCTATCCAAAAACTATCTATCGTTTTAGAAATCAAAAGGATGTGAAATGATTCCTGGCTTTAAGAAACAACAGAAATTAAATGCTCTGTAGAAATGGTTAGCAATATTAGCCAGAGTGAAGTGGGAGACCAGTGATCAGCCAGGGGTCCCTCCAAAGTTACAAATCTTAGAAAACAAAACACCTGCTCAGTCAGTTTTGCTGGTTTCTGACATGGGGAAAAGGTGGATGAGTCAGTGTACCCCCCTCCCTCCCAACCTCCCTTTAGTGATAGGTAGGAAAACACAGAAGATAACAGAATGTTGTAGAATGTGGAGGATGTAAGATGGACAGTGTTAACTTGGTAGAGGCAACCTAGAGTAAAGGAGAGAGGGTGTCTGGAGCAGACGTGTGCTGGGAGCTGGGGTGGCCAAGCACAGGCAGGTGCCTGAGCAGCACCAAAGACACAACCCTGTGTCCCTGAACTGGCCGAGTTTAAGAGGCAAGTGAGAATATGGGGTAATGCCTGAGGAATGTCCTGCTCAAAGTGGGTGGTTGGGGTGTGAGGGGAAACCAGAGAGCAGGGAGCAAAAGTGGTAGATGCAGATGAGCTGTAGCTCAGAAAGCCATTCAGGCCCAGCTCTCTCCCAAGGCAGCTAGCGAGGCAAGGGCAGAAGGTGCTTGTTTCCTCACTTGCAGAAGCCATGGCTTTCTGCGGAAGTGGCAATAAAAAGGCAGGGGCATTGAACTACACAGAGCCTTTGGTAGAAATGTTTCTCCTGCCTAAATTCAGGTGCTAAATGAACAACAGAGTGAGAATCTTGACCACAGTTTCCAGCAGTGGGACAGTTGAGGTCATTATGCTCCTGGGAACAACAGCAGGGGTGGCATATCAGGGACCACCAGGAAGAGCAATTAGCAGTGGGTCCCACTCAGCCCCCATAAGGAAACTTCATATCCCTCAATCATCTTTAGATTTTGTCAAAGACAGACCCATCCTTAGAGTATCCCATGGAGTATACTCTCCATGGGATCCAGAAGATGCTCAGTTGCTAGACTGCAGAATTGGAGAGGAGACAGTATAATGTGTGTTAATTTATGTTAAAAAAATTGGGTATTAGCACAGAAATGTTAATAACTAGAAATTACTGAATTCTCTATGTTTGTCTGTTGTGGAAATAAAAGCTTCTGGGAATGGATCAACAATATCTGGGAATTACTTGAAACATGTGGATAACTAAAGATAACGTACCTATCCTAACTAAAATGTGCTATAATTCAATTGCATTTTTTTCTTTTAAGGCTTGATTCTGGGGGAACATTACTTTACTTAGTGAATATTGCAGAAATTACACAAAAGCCCCAAAAGATGTTATATAAGCTTCTAAAGTGGAAATTCTCAACCTTCACAGTTGGTATATTACCCTGATAATTCTAGATATTAATTGATTTTATGCCTGACATTTTGATTGGTATTAGAAAAACTGAGGTGTGTACCCAGTTGTCCTGGAAAATAACAACTGGTTCTCTGAAAGTCCAGATTTATAATGTTTGCCAGTTTTCAGGGTATAAGAGCTTGCACTATGGCTGATTTCAAGCTATGCATGTGATGTCACTGAAAGCAGAATTGGGAGATGGGCATAATTGACTCTTGTGAGTTGGTACATGCCACTGCCACTGCATGTATCTGTTGGCTCATGTGAAACCGTTGTGTGTGTATGTGTGTGTGTGTGTGTACTAAAAATGCTACTTCAGAAATATAAAAAAATTCTAGAGAACAAAAATATCCAAAGGGAAATAAAATAAATTCAAATTGAGGTGCTCAAATGGAGCAAGTTGACAGAGGATTTCTTTGGACACTTTGATAAAAGGTATTTTTCTATATTATCTATTTTATTATTATTATTATTATTATTTTGCAAACAAGTATCTATGTATTACACTGAGTATACTGAATTCTTAGTTTCTTTGATATTCCCCTAGATGGAGGTGGGGGATCCCTTTCAGATATGGGAGCTAAGAGGATACTGATCAAAGAAACCAGGAGAACTGCATACCGTGAAGTCAGTTTTAGGACATCTAAGTTGAGGGTCAAGATAGAGGAAAAGATGGACAACCTTATGAATTTTGGGGGGCAACACTGAAACATAGACCCATATTATAATGAAGCATAAAAAATATATAGATCTGTTTTTATTAACATTAAAGGAAAACCAGAAAAATGTTCAAAAATTGAAAAAGTGGATAAGCAAACTATTCTATTAAAAAAAGGAAAGAAAAAAACCTCATTAAAATAAAAGTGAATTGCAAGAAAAATAATACAATCAAAGAAAATAAATAATGAATAATTTTTTTAGTATAAGTATTTACTAAATATTGCATGGGATATATCTATATTAAAAACTAATTGATGTTTATCTGAAATTAAAAAGTAGAGGCTAGTTGGAAATACAAATAAGAATTCATAGATATTTTTTAAACGTCAGGCCTTTTCTGTTCTTCTCCCATAGTAATTTATGCTGATGGATATTTTTGCTACAATCCTGTTATATTCCAGCAAGGATGTGGAACAAGCTTATTTGTAGAATTACAGCCTATGGCTTCTAAAACTATCTTTTAGTGACAGGAACAAATGCCCTCATTCAGGGGAAAAATAATCAGGATGAGTTTGCAAATTCTAGGTGTTGAAAGAAAGTAAGATTGCATGTGGGCATCAGAGATAAAGATACTAAATATAAAGACACTAAATATAAAGCAAAATTGCCTGTAAAAAACACCTGATTTCCGAAATGGTTTACCGAAGAGGCTGTACGGGTGTCCCTGCTATTTGAAGGTGGGGTGTTCCTATGAACAATTTCCTATATGTTCCTGTGAACTTTTTTTTTAAAAAAGATTTATTTATTTATTTTATACAAGCACTGGGTACAGTCAGAAGCGGGGGAGGGTGAGAGAATCCCAGAGCCAGAGTGGGGAGCAGAACAGGCAGACTGACGAAACACACTGCTGAGGGGAGCAGCGGGCGCAGCAGGAGAGGTCTGCGCACCATGAGGGACCCTCACCGGCCGTCTGGGGATCAAACCGGCGCTGCAGAGGCTGCAGACAGCTTCGCAGCCCAGCATTCAACTGCTGTGCCACCAGCAAGACCCCGTGTGAACTCTTTCATAAGCCAAAATGGGAAAATGTAAAGAAGCAAGTACCATTCATTCATATGGAAAATCTTTCGAGAATTCTCAGGCCCCAGAATCAACCTACCAAATCGTACTAAGTAACATACAGCAAACCTAAAATACATTAACATATAGAAGAAGCAGGAATGATATTATAAAGACACAGCCTGTAGAAAAGCACTTCCAGGGGAAAGAGCTTGTCTGGGGCCACTCTCGCTGCTTGGGGTTGGTGCTGCTTCTAGAATAGCTGCTACAAAACTAATGCTGATGATATTTCCACTCTGCTTTTTGTCGTAATAGTAAAATGCTGTTTGGATTTCAATCAATTAGTGAAAACAGGTATTAATGTAGGCCTTGTGTGAAAGTCAAGTGGCATAATGTGAACTTTTAAAGAGCTGGGGATACCCATATATTGATTAACACAAATTAAGTGAGGTCTATGCATTTTGAAAATGCAAGTTGCTATATTTTTATAGAAGGAGATGGACCTCTAACAGAACGCAGTCAGTAGGGATATATAAGAGGATGTTATCAATATTCCAGAGATCTTTGTGAAATGTGGTTTTATTTGCTGGAAAGGGTGCAAGTAGATTGGAGAGAGTCAGGACTTCCGGTGATGCCCTTTAAGAGCTGTTTCTCTTATCTCCTCAGAAATAAATGACAATCATTCCTAAGAATTGCCAATAGCAGTTCCACAGTGGGTAGGGACATCTCCTGAAAATCACGCTGCGTTTTATTAACTAGCCGGGACATGGCAACCATTGCAAGTAATACCTTGTGATTTATGGTCATTTATCCAATAATAATTCCCTTTGCATAGTAAGGGGATCTACATCCTCTTTCTGTACTATTTTTATTACCTCTTGGCTGTGCATCTCAGATGGTAAATCAGAAGCAACTCCACCTGTAGGAGAACTCACTAGGCCTCACCACAAGGGGGAAAGTTTAATAGATGTCATAGAATGTTAAATGGACACTTATGGATAGAAAATTGAATGTGTACTATGGAGCTGGGGTGGGGGTGCGAGAGAAGGGCATGTTAATGCCGGAGACTGTTCAAGATAATTGAAAAGTAAAAGGAGAAAGATAAATAAAGGAAAAATATGCCATAAAATGTAAATTTTAACTGAATTCTTTCTACCGAAATTTTAAATGTAGGAAAGACAAGGAAATAAATGAAGGAGCGGAAAATAGAATGATAAGGGGTAAATCTGGGCATAAACAGTTGAAGAAAAACATACTTTTACTAAACACAACCAAAAGTATAAAAATTGAATGGGAAAACAGGTTACTATTATGGCAGCTGATGTCTGTTAAGAACTAAACATACAATAAAATAAGTGAAGAAAGGTCATAACATCTGGCTCTTTTTAAAACCTGCATCTTAGACACATATTATGGTTTACACAAAACTGGAAGAAAACCAAGTAACAACAGATTTACACCAGCAAATGCTAAGAGGGTCCCAAATATATGCAACTAGGGGGAAACGACTTTGCCCAAAGAGGGTAGTGGTGCAGGCCTGCTGGGCCAGAAGTCAGAAACACCATGG